GGCATGTTCACCCTACCTGGTGGTAAAGAAAACCTTCCAGGCTAGGCCTCTGCGGACTTGGATTTCTGAAATGAGAGTAAAAGAAGTGGAAAAGTCTTTTTATCTAGCCACCCCCCTCACTCAGTGGTGGCAGTTTTAGTCTTCAGGTGAAGGAAGGGACTGAAACCTGGAGATGGGAATAAGAACTTAACACCAGGACCACCTGCCACTGTTACGGACAAGGACACACGCTACTACCTTGACAGGCAGCCGAGGAGACCCAAATACAGCGAGACTAGTAACCGCCAGTGTGTATCCAACCCTTAGTGAGCACTTCACATAGCTGCTGTCATTGAAGTCTTACAACAACCCTCGAAGGCAAATGCTATTGGAATTCCTTTCAAGTGAGAAAGCTGAAGGTCATCAAAATGAATGAATTCGCGAAAAGTCCCAGAGCTCAGAGCTGTGTGATTTCCTCCTCAGTCCCTGCACTGCCTTCCGGTCTACCGAATCAACAGAGCACTGGCCGGCGGTGACGGGAGGCTCAGCAAAGCCAGGCAGAGCCGCAGGAGGCTGCCACCTTCCCCTCCATCCGTCACAACGGTCCACTCCGCCGACCCTGAGTTTCGAGACGCCAAAGGAAGTGTGCCCGTGGGCTGGTGCGACCCGGGACGAAGAGCTGGGGTTTCACTGCTGAGCCCCTCTGGCCGAGTCCTTGCGGTGAGCACCTGAGCAGCTTCCTGCCGAGGCGATCAACTCATAGTAGAACGAGGATTAGTCTCCTGTCTTACACCGCCCGACCTCACGCAGTCACTGCGAGCAGCAGCTGCGATGACCCGTGCAGCGGGTCCCCCACACAGCAGGGGCCTGGGCAGATCCGCTCTCCTGCCACGCGGGCCGGGAACGCTTGCCCCGCGCGGGGCTGTGGTGGGTCACAGAAGAAGCTGCTAACGAGGATGGTTCCTGCGCACGGAGCTGGCCGCACCGGTCCCTCCGTCACTCTGCAGGCCCAGGGGCACATGGAGCTCCAGAACAAAAGGGGGGTGGCTAAAGGTCCCCATTTGTAGTTGAGGTCCATTAATGGTTATTTCAAGAACTCACAGTTTACCTGAGGAAGAGCGAGTGGGGCAGCTGTGTCAGCACACGCTGGAAAGGGCCCAGTACTGGGGGGTGCAGCAAGAATCCAGCTCGCCTTCACCTGACAAGCCCAGAAAGTCTGAGGGATGAGGAATCTCACCCCACCCTGAATTTGCTAACCTTCCTTCCTAACCATGCACCATTCGGAGCACAAAACCTCACAGAGCCACAGGAGGCGCCAAGGACCTCGACCATCTCTGAGGAACCCCAAGAGGCAAAAGCAACCCAAGCCATCCTTATTTTGGAAAGTTTACCTGCACCTCCCAATGAACATGCAGGCTATTTATCTGGTGTCCTGTGGTGCCCGGGAAACTAACAAAAGACCCAGGCAAAGCACCAAAGAACTTGGGGTACCCTTGTGAGCTATCCTTCAACGGGAAGGCTCCGAAGTACAAGGCACCAGAGGGGGTATATTTTAGCTAGAGGGCAGTCTTAAGGCCCTCTCAGTGACCACCTCCTTTTACTTAAACAGCTGTAAATAACGTGGCTGACCACAATTCACAAATCTGAAGTAAACAGGGAAGCCGCTGGGGCCGGCACACTGAAGGCAAAATCAAGAGAAGCTTATTTACAATTGGAAAAACATGGAAGCAGCCCAAATGCCCAAAAGTAGATGACTGGATTAGAAAGATGTGGTACATATATACAATGGAATATTACTCAGCAACCAAAAAAGAGAAACACATGTCTTTTGCAGCAACTTGGATGGAGCTGGAAAAGATCATGCTTAGTGAGATAAGCCAGAAAGAGAAAGAAAAATACCGGATGGTTTCACTCATAGCAGGAGTATAATGGACCAGGCGAGAAAATAACAAAAATAATGAACAACCATAGACCAGAGACATTCTGTGGGGGTGGAGTGGGGAATGGGATCAAAAACAGGGGGGGGGGGAAGGGAGGGAAATGCACGGGACTATGGTGGTGGCACAGGGGTGATTTGGTGATGGGAAACCCACGGGGATTACAATGGAGATGAAAAAAAAATGTGCAAAATGATGTAAAAATAAACTTTTTAATAAAAAAAAAATTAAGAGTAAAAAAAAAAAAAATCAAGAGAAGCAGCCACAGCCTGACCACAGACTGAGGCGCAGCCGAGGGGACTGAGGGGCAGCTGCCGGGGCCACGCCTCACCGGCCAGACGCCCGCTGCGCTGACATGGCGAGCTCACGGCGCCTGCGCTGCTTGAGTGGCCTGGGATGCCAGGACGGTCAGGTGATTTGCTGTGACCACTGAGACATCAACAGAAATACGAGGAGCTCACTTCTGTCAGAAGCTCTGTGAGCTCGTGTGTGCATCACCCCGCTCTCTTCCTGCCCCACCTTGGTGACCCCACCACTCCACCAGCCAGGTCCTCAAGTCAGAACAAAATGCGCTGGGCAGAGCCGCCCGCTGGCCCACAGTGACAGGGCGAGAAGAACTGGGCTCCTGTTGCTGGGGGCTCCTGACTACCGCGTAGTCTAGTCTATCGCAACCGAAACAACCCAAAACGTTAACTGAGGCCTGTCCATTACTGTGTGCCTCATCTGACAGGTTACCACGCAAAGTAACCAATATTTTATTCTGTGGCTAAAGGATAATTTTCAATTACATGGAACATTCACCTCCTCTAATGTTTCTGGAGAAATGGGCCTTTAGCAGAACAGGAGCTGAATGGAAGTGGATTCAGTTTCCAAACAACTTCATTCTCTAGCCAGGCATCAAGTCCTTAAAAACAACAGCTGCATTTTGTCTGGACCAAAGGCAGAAATTGGGCCTCTGTGCTAACACTGCCAGCACCGGCCCCCGGCATGCACAGAACCAGCTCCGTGAGGAAGGAGTACCCCCGGGTGCC